TGTTGAAATATTTTAGGGTATATACTCATGTCTGCAATATACTTTGAAATGCATCAAAAATAAGATTAATTGAAGATGGATAGAGGGATAGATAGATGGATAGATAGGTAATAAAGCAACTATAGTAATTGTGAAATGGTAGAATCTTGGTAGTATATCTATGAGTCTTCCCTATAAAGTGCCTTAAACTTTTTCTATATGCTTAAAAATGTTTATAGTAAAATGTTGGGAAAATATTCAGCACTCACTCCTTGTTCTAGGCAATGGGGATACAGAGGTAACTGAGCAGAGTTTCCCAGAGGACCGTACCCAAGGGAATTATTTATGTAGTTCCTAGGAGCTCTGGTGGTACAGTGCCTGAGGCATTGGACTGCTAACCAGAAGACTGGCACTTCAAACCCACCAGTCACTCCTTGGAAGGAAAATTGGGCAATCTACTTCTGTAGAGACACTGCCTCAGAGACCCAAGGAGGGGTCATTATGAGTCTGAGACGACTCCACAGCAGTGAGTTTTTTTTTTTTTTACTATAAGCCAGTGGCAAAGGCAAGGGCAACAATTAATTTTTATTTTTCACAGCTGTGTATAAATTACCAAACACACTGTCATCAAGTTGATTCTGACTCACAGTGCCCCTAGAGAACAAGGTAGAACTCCTCCATAAAGTTTCCAAGGCTATAACTATTTATGGAAGCAGACTGCCTCATCTTTCTCCCACGGAGCAGCTGGTGGGTTCAAACTGCTGACCTTTTGGTTAGCAGCTGAATGCTTTTAACCACTGAGCCACCAGAGCTCCCAGCTCTGTAATAGGTATAAAACAAACTCACTGCCACTGAGTTGGTTCTGACTCATAGCAAGCCCCCTTGGGTTTCCAAAGCTGTAAATGTTAATGGACGTAGATTGCCTCATCTTCCTTCTGTGGAGCAGCTGGTGGGTTTGAACCACCGACCTTCTGGTTAGCAGCAAATGCCTTACCCGCTACATCACCAGAGCTCCTTTTTAATAGGTACACCAAAGCAAAAAACCAAATCCATTGCCATTGAGTTGGTTCCAATTCATTGCAACCCTCATTGGGTTTCCAAGGTAAATGTTTAGGGAAGAATATTGCCTCGTCTTCCTTTTGCTGAGTGGCTAGTGGATTTGAACTGCCAGCCTTCTGGTTAGCAGTCACATGCCTTAGGCACTATGCCACCAGAACTCCCTATAATAGCTATATTAAAAAGAAACAAACTCAGTGCCATCGAGTCAGTTCCAACTCATAGCAACCCCTCCTTGGGTTTCCGAGGCACTATCACTATGGAAGTAGATTGCCCAACCTTCCTTCTGAGCAGTGGCTGGTGGGTTTGAACCACCAGCCTTCTGGTAGCAGTCAAATGCCTTAGGCACTATGCCACTAGAGCTACTATGATAGGTATAGTAGCCTATTATTTTAACTGGAAACTCATGGCTTGCAGATTGACTTGTCCAAGACCGTGGCAGCCAGGATTTGACATTGACCACTGAATTTTCTGATTATAAAGTCTTGTTGTTGTTATGTGCCATCGAGTCGGACCTGACTCATAGTGACCCCTCCTTGGGTTTCCGAGGCAGTATCACTATGGAAGTAGATTGTTAACCTTCCTTCTGAGGAGTGGCTGGTGGGTTTGGACCACCAGCCTTCTGGTTAGCAGTCAAGTGCCTTAGCCACTATGCTACCAGAGCTCCTTGAAAGACACTGAGGAGACTTAAAAGGATCTTAAGATATGACTTGTATTTTAGAAAGATCACTCTAGCTGTAGCATGAAGAATGACTAGACAGGGCTCACAGTGGAAGCAAGAAGACCAGTTGAAAGGCTTCTACAACAGTACAAAAGAGAGATGATACTAGTCTCTTTAAAAGATGGGAAGCAATGAATGGTTTTGAAAGAAATTCAGAGGTAGAGTGGATCAGATTGGTTGTGTAGTGTGAGGGAGAGGGAGAAGTTAAAAATGACTCTTAGGTTTTTGGTTTGGACAAATTGATGGATGGTGATGCCATTCAATGAAACGGGGGACATAAGTGGAAGAGAAGCTTGAAGTGAGTGGAAATGATGAGCTCAGTTTTGAATATGTTTTATGATCCTATGAGATATCTAAGTGGAGATTTCCAGTAGATAATTGGATATATAGACCAAGAGCTTTGTACTAATCTGGACTAAAGTCATAAAATTTGTAGTTATAGTACCTCTGAGTACCCTACCTATTTGGTCACTGAGGACAATCTAATAACTGTTTTTCGTTTTAACTGTTTTCACTTTTAAAATACTGCCAAAAATATCTGGCTACTGAAATCTAGTCTTCCTTGGCTATTGGTCTATTTATCATTCCTTGTTGTAGTTGTTAGGTGCCATGGAGTCAATTCTGACTCATAGAGACTTATGTACAACAGAATGAAACACTGCCTGGTCCAAAGGGATTATAATAAGAATAGAAATTGTGGTCTAATAAAAAGCTATGGAATAGCAAGATTGAATGCGGCAGATAGAAGGATTTTAGGGATTTTCAGTAGATTAAAAGGCTAATATTTGGTAAATACATACACTGGGAGATATTTCTTTGGTACTCACCTGATCAAATACAGCTCTTTATTCCATGGGTAGATATTTAAGACTGGCCCAACCCCAATCATGTGGTTGTGACATTCTCCAACATTTTCAATATATTCATGCTTCAGTGGCACTTTGCTGAGGAGTTCAAATCCCTCAGGAGCCTTTTGAAGTACCTGTTCTGCTGCATAGAATCCGTCCACTAGTAGCGTCCTGCCACCTGTTCCTTCATGCTTAAGACAGTGAAACACTTGAACACTAAAAAGGAAAAGACAGCAAATGGCTTTGGTTCAGTGGAGAAAGAGAACATTTCAAAATTCTAGAGAATTATATACAAAGTGACTACTGAATCTACTTGTGTAATTTTCTTTTCATGAAGAAATAAATCTAATTTCTTAATTGTTTTCCCTTCAAAGCCAGTTTTTTTTTTTTTTGTTGTTGTTTGTGCTTTGAAATATTAATGCCAGTAGAAGTTTCTTCTAAACATATTTAACACACATTGAAACCTATACATGCCAGGCCCTGGAAATACACACATGAATAAGACATAATTCTTGTTTTAAAGAAGCCTATAGTTTACTTGGAAAAAATGGAGCAAATAAGTATCAATAAAAACAAATAGGTATTATAATAAATTTGTATACAAGATGATACCACCACTACCACCAGTTGCCAAGGGGTCCATTCCAGCTTATGGTGACCCCGTTTGTGTCACAGTAGAACTGTGCTCCATAGCG